TACGTATAGAATCTACAAAAACTCATGAAAACAGTGGTTGTCAGGGGTGGGGTGGTGGATGGGGAGATAGTGGTCAAAGAGTACAAACTTCCAGTTATAGATGAGTAAGTCTCAGAGATCTAATGTACAGCCTGGTGACTAAAGTCACACTGTATTTGATACTCGAAGTTGCTAAGAGATTAGAACTTAAATGTTCTCAGTACAAAAAAAAATGGTAATAACAGACGTGATGGAGGTGTCAACTAATGTTATTGTGGTAATCATTTTGCAATACATAAGTGTATCAATTCAACACGCTATTCATGTTAAACTCACACACACACACTGCCGTGCATCAATTTACCTCAGTAAAGCTAGAAAACAAAAGCACCCTCAGTATAGGGGCTAGAGATACTGCAGAAGGAAGGGCCTTTTCTTCCTGGCTCTGTCCGGCAGGCTTCTGTTTGCTTCTCCTTGCTGCTAAAGCTGGATTGCCGGGGGCAGGAGGGACATCCAGTGGTGCTAGGCTCCAGCTATGGGTCCCCTTATGAACCTGAGCCCTGCCCTCTGGTCGGTGACATCCTGCTTTATAAATGGCCAAAAGATAGTCTATGGTTGCTTATTTCTTCACAGCAGGTTGATACCCAGTAGTTTCACTTATTCTTTTTCTAATTTCATAAGATGAAAGCTGAGTTCACTGGTTTGAGACGTTTGCTATTTTCTAATATAGAGGTTTAGTACTGCAAATTCCTCCCAATAACATGTTAGAATCATTTTCCTAAATCTTCTATGTTGTGTTTTCATTTTGTTCAATTCAAATTGCATTCTATTTTCCCTTTTGCTTTCTTCTTTGACCTGTGGATTATGTAGAAGTATGGTATTCGGATTCTAAATTTTCGGAGACTTTCCAGATATCATTATGTTGTTATCTAATTGGATTACACTGTGGTCATAGCACATAACTTGAATCATTTCAAATTTATTGAGACTTCTTTTATGGCCCAGAATATAGTCTCTCCTGTTAAATGCTCTGGGACACTTGGCAGAGGGATGTATTCTGTTGTCACTGGATGGAGTTTGAAAATGTATATTAGATCAAGTTGGTTGACCATGTTGTTATGTATAGTGTATATTCTACATAATAACTGATTTTCTGTCTACTAAGGAAAAGTAAAAATACTCTGAACCTCTTCCCAAATTGGGGAGCCAACGGTCTCATAAATTACAATATCCATCTCTGGGTGATAATCATTTTTTTTTTTCGGTTTAATCACAATCCCACCTTCATATGTGTCAGTTTGGGCCCTCCTAGTAGTAGATGTCAAGATAGAATTCAGTGTTTGGGGGGGGGGGGGGGGAATGCCTGAGCTGGATAAAGCGTGGGTGAGTAGGAGGAGGCAGGGCAGCTTTAGACTCCAGTGCAGGTTTGAGAACGTCTCCATCAAGTTAATAGGAGTTCCTGAAAAAGATTGCCAGGTTGGGCAGTAATGAACAGACTAACAACCCCTGCCATTCTCAGGCAATGGCTGGGTGTAGCTTAAGGACAGGGTGGAGGATGGAAGGGCAGTGTTTCTGCTGCCCATCGCCCTGCTGCTGCCCTGGGCACACAGCTCTCTGGCACGTAGGTCTTTCATGGTGTTCTTGTGTCTGTGCCTCACAGCATGGGGGAGCTGTGTTCAAAAGGTCAAGTCCTAGGATGCTGATTCTCTAGTTCTGGGGAGCTGGGGGGGAGCTGCATGTTCATTAAGCCTCTCAGGTGAATGTGATGGGAGGTGCCTGGACCAGACTTTCAGATCATTGCTCCCACACTACCCAAACTGTAAGGTTATATGTGGAGGAGCTGTGTGTGTGTGTGTGTGTGTGTGTGTGTGTGTGTGTGTATACCTGCGTGTTTAACACCTGTGTTAAGCATCAGAGTTTTCCAGAGTGGATGGTGAATGTAAGCAAACCCCCTGAGAGCAGGAACCAGCTTTCAAGCTGAAGGTGCCACCTGGCCATGTCCTGCAGCTTTAAGGCCAAGGATGAGCCTAGGAAGGATTTCCTTGCTGCTTTCTCCTTGAATAGCTTCTGGAAGTACGTGTGGAGCCTAACTGGTCTAATACAAAACCATAACATGATATAAGTATAGTGAAGGCTGTGTATTAACAACTATGGTGGCTTCATCTCCCTGGATCCTGAGAATTTATGGAGCTTGCATTATGTTCAATGTGTTGGCTGACAAATATCAAACCTCTACCACATGCTGAGAGCTGTTTTAGGAGCTGGGTTTATACCAGAGAATGGCATATTCATTCTCTACCCTTAAGCAATGTTACTATCTAGTGAGGGGAAGGAAGTATTAAATGTATAAATGATCCATAAACAAATTGATCTCATCTCCTGTTAAGTGGTCTGAGGCAGACAAAATTGGCTAATGTGATGGAAGGTCTGCAGGTGGTTGTTGAGACTGCTGTAGTAGGTGGTCACAGAAAGCCTTCCTAAGATGACCAGACACGTGTTGAGACCCATCTGATAGGAAGGATATGTATTTCCAAGCAGAAATGACAGCAAGTGCAAAGTCCCCTGAATGATGCTCGGTATGTTTCAGAGGCAGACAGATCAGTGCAGCTGGGGCAGAGGGAGTGGGAAGGGGGAACAGGAGAAAGGTGGGCTCAGAGAGGTCAGGAGGCCCAGATCATGCTGATCCCCATAGAGGCTCAGTAAGGACTTTGGCTGTTATTCTGGATTCAATGAGAAGCCATAAGAGAGTGTAAATGGGAGAGCAAGAAGTAAGAGGCGCTTGAGAAAGGTGCTCTGTCTGCTACAGAGGACAGCTCTTGCAGGGACAAGAGTGGAAGATGGGAGGTGAGGTAGTGGCGTGGGGCTGTGTAATGGTGATGGATGATATGGTGATGGATGATGATACATGAGGGTGGTGGTGTGGAAATGGTTTGAATATATATACCTTTCACATTATACTTTCTTGTGAAAAGTGTTTAATGTCACTGCCTTTCTCCCCGAGAGTAAACATGATTAACACTTGGAAGGATGTTTGCCTTGTGGTTATGAGAACAGATTCTGGAGTCAGACTGCCCAATTTCAAATTTTAGCTCAGTCATATGCTAGCTGCTGGGTCTTAGCCAGATATCCCAATCTTAAACTTGCCTCTGTTGCCTCACCTTCAAATGGGCAATAGTAATTTCAGTTACCTCACGGGGTTTACAGATATTTTAAGTGTTTTAGAGAGAACAGAATGATGCCAGGCAACTACCAAGTGTTCAACAGTTTAGATTTTATGATGTTTATTTTTCTCAGGACTCAAATGACATTTGAAAGACGTCGAAAGAAGTCAAAGTAATCCTATTACATAGGAAATGCCAAATTTTTATTCCTCTCAAGGTGCCATTGGGATGATCTCTAGAATTAAAATTGGGAGAAAGTTGGTACCACCAACCACAGTAAGAAACACAGAAGAGGAATCAGTGAGGAAGCGGGGGAGTGTGCTGATCAGTTTCCCTCAGCTGTAAGATTTCTGGTGTCTTTTGGTCCATGTGAGAGGTCCTTGAAAATATCTGTCCAAAATATGCCAAGACAACATACCAAGGCTCTATTTTCATAGGACAATGAGGCCCAATTTCAAATAAATGAATGTGCCCACTTGGACTCCCCTTTCTAGGGGATAACAGCAAGATTCAGGTCCAACTCTTATGGTTGTGTCTCCTCCCCAAAGGCCCACAGTGCGAGACCCACCCAAGAAGCTAAGCTATGGAGAAGGCAGCAACCATTTCTCCCCATAAGCACATCCTCTCAACTGTGGTGCCATTGACAGGCCTAGGGGCACATTTTTATCTGATGGGTCTCCCACCTGGGGTTACCCTGGCTAAGCCATCACCATCTGTACACCAGGGGGGATGGAGGGGCTAGGAGAAGTGGTATTATCCTTAAGTCTCTTACAATCCAACCAACCTTGACTATTGGGCCCTGAATCTCTTTCTTCTTTCTGCTTTTAGAGACATGTGGTGAAACAGTATATCCTGATCTCGAGAAATCAAAATTTTTGAAAATCAAGGGCAGGAAGCCTGCTAAAATTCCAGAGTTCCCATGGAAGGTGAATATTTTTGACCAAGGGAGATATCTCTGTGGAGGATCAATTCTCAATGAGTGGTGGATTCTATCTGCATCCCATTGCTTTATAAACAAAAAAAAGTAAGTATTGCAAACAGACTTCTTTTTAAACAAGTGTGGTAGAATATTTGCCCCTACCTGCTTAGTATTCTCCTAGAGCTCCATTCAGGTTTGTTAGCCATAGAACAGAGTACCAGGAGGTTAAATATATGCCCATGTGGCTGAACATCACCCTTTGCAGGTGGGAGAGATGCTGCTCTCCTGCTAGGACTTTTACAGCTTGCTGTGTAGGACCAAAATGGCAGAATGAATGTTCTTTAGACTTCTCAGCATCTTGCCATGTAAACCTGGTCTAATCCTATGGAAAGTACTTCCCTAAGCATTTGCTCCCACCTGGGGAGAGAGTAGGTTAGCGGTGAGCACAGAGTTGGAGAAGCCTTCAAGGAAGAGATTGGAACACTGGGGCAGGGCGCCAGGCCTGGCTGCATAGCAGCAGCTCCTGAGGTGCTGTCTTAGCCTACATCCTCCAATCAGTATTGTTGAGAAACTTCCCAGGTGTTTGTTGGAGCTAGTCCAGCCCTTGTTGCAAATCCAGGGACAATTCCCTCTATTACTTGTGCATAGCATGGCTTTCCAGACATTTGTTGATGAAATTTACAAGTAAATTTTCCCAAGCAAGAGGTCATCAGCCCAAGAGTTGTTGGCAACAGGGTGGACCTGGAACTCGTGTCTGTCTCCTCCTGCCCAGTAGGGGCTCTTCACCTGGTTCTATGCCAAGGGTGTGGCCCCAGATGCACCATCTCCCCAGCTCTCAGGATCAGAGCCTCAGACTGTTGGAATTTTTTTCTCATAAGATTCACCTTTTGCTCTTTCACCTCTCACCCTTTTTTCCTTTTTTTTTTTTTTTCAAATTTAAGGTCTACCTTGGAGGTCATATACGATGATGGAAAATCTAGCACCAACAACTTGACGACAAAGAAAGTAGACAAGCTAATTACTCACCGCTTCTTTGACAGTTTGCTCTTGCGTAATGACATTGCTTTACTCCTGCTCAAAAACCCATTTAACTTCAGTGTCATGGGATTGCCCATCTGCCTCACCGAGGTCAATGAGATACAGGAATGGAGAAAGTGCCACTTTACCAGTGAGTTACTGTAGCCCAACCCACTGGGGGGTAGCATCCTGTTTGATGCATGCAAGGAGAAACAAAAGCTGCAGACCCTGCTGGCCCTGGGAAGACTTCCTGGTGGATTTGGGGCCTTTAAGTTCTCATTTAAGGTTCTATAATGAACCTTCTCCTCAGTTCACATGGGAGCTGTCCTTCCTGGGCCTCCATGGCCTCCTGGAGCAAGTTTTATGTCTAGCTTGTAGGACATGAACCTTGAATAGGGCCTCAAGATGACCCAGGCAGAGCTTTTCAGAGTCAGAGGGGTGACTTGGAGAAATGTAGAGGGACATATTGATGGGCAAAGGGGTGGCAAAATGGACTGGGAACCAGGAAATCTATACCCATGTCTTCCAGCACAGTTCTATTCCAACTGATGGTGTTGGTTCTGTGCCCTTGGGATAAGAGGCTCTGTGACTAAAATATTGAAAACCACAAGCTGAGGAGAAAGGCATAAACTGAATGTGAACTTGTCTTTATAGAGTCAACCTGCAAACTACTCCCACCACTTTTCCCAGCCACACAAGATGGTGACCTTTGTCCTTCATCTTAGTACATGTATCTTGTCCCATAATCAACAGAGCAGAAAAAAATGAATTCCAGTCAGTACTCCTCTTCCCAGTGGTACCCTAATGGCTGCATGGGATTCTCACATAGTCCCCAAGCTCAGAGCTATGTTAGAATTCCTGGTTGGGAATTGCCCTTAGAAGTTTATCATGAGCTTCAAAAAGGGCCACCTTCTTAATGTAGAACTCCTCATGCTTCATCCAGCACATATTCATTGATCCTCTTCTATGATCCAGGAAGTGTTCTAGATTCTAGGGATTCAGCAATACTGTACAAAGACAAAACAAAACTATTCTCATCTCTGGGGAGTGAGCATTTTAGGTATTGGGCTCAGCTCCTTAAGCCCATCTTTATGTATTGTGGGCCCCCAGACAGAAATTGTCACTGTGGGTTCTCTTTACATCCTTGTGGTTTTAAAAGAAACATGTTTTAGGACCCTCGATGGAGTCTGCAGCTTCTGCACTCAGGTTGAAGCCCAGTAGAGTCCAGTTCTGGGGACCTGTGGATTCAGAGAGGGTGGGCTTGAGAGTTTGCTGGCCATCCCTCCCACTCCACCTCACTCGGTCCACATGTGGGTTGTTCTCTGGACCATAGGGAAGTTCCCTTGTCATTGAGGTGAAAAGATACAATGTGGGTGGGTGCTTGACCTCCATTCATAGGGACCACTTTGAGCTCAGAGTCCTCTCCCCATCTGCTTCTTCTTTGGGTCAGTTTCTCATGGAGGTGTGCGTGAAAAGCTGCAGAAAGTCAACGTGGAGCTGGTTGAATGGAGTAGGTGCTCTGAAAATATGCCTATGGTCACCCGGGACATGCTTTGTACTAGGAGCGCTGAAGATTGGAAGGATGCCTGCCAGGTAATGGAGCTGGGGAGGGTCACAGGAAATGCTGTGAATATCATGTTTTCCATCACCATTTCTTACACCTGTTTGGTGCTCAATAGCACACAAACCGCTTTCACAAGTACATGAAAGGGTTGAGCACTGGCCCTACGAAGCAGGCCTATTTCAGATGGGGAGACTAAGAATCAGGGAAGCCAACAGTCCTGAGGAGGACACACAGCGAGGTAAATTACAGACCCAGAATTCTAAGGAAGGCACGCTGACTTCTGGGGTTAGAGCCATCTTTGGGATTCCAGTAGAAATGGGGCTCCAATGCCAGCTGCCCAGCCTGCTAGTACGCAGATTTGGCTGCTCATGAATCAAAAAGGTGGTGGGAGCCGCCCCTGAGTACTGGTTCTCCATGTATCTGGGCCCAGCTTAGTGCTGCACATGTGTCATTTCCTTCCATTCACACAGCAGTCCGTGCAGTTATTATCACCAGCATAAAAACCACACTGAGGAAGATTTTCACATTCTCTCAGCTAAAGCTTGTCCCTGGGATTGGAACCAAGGTCTGTTTGGCTCTAGAAATTTAGGTTCTTTTTTTAAAAAAAAAACACCTATTTTTATTGATTTCAGAGAAGAAGGGATAGGGAGAGAGAGACAGAAACATCAATGGTGTGAGGGAATCATTGATCGGGTACCTCCTGCATGCCCACACTGGGGACCAAGCCTGCAACCTGAGCCTGTGCCCTTGACTGGAATCAAACCCAGGGCCCTTCAGTCCACAGGCCGAAGCTCTATTTGTTGAGCCAAACCAGGTAGGAACAGAAATTTAGATTCTGGACTGTGTTCTGCTGAAGATCTTTCATTGAGATCCTCCCTTCTCCAGAGAAGTGATTGCAATTCATTTTAAAGAAAGGTCATGGGGTTTTCCCGTGACTTCAACAAATCTGGTAAAGGAGAGTTTGGTTCCAAGTAAGATGATGGGCACAGCATCTTCTTCATGAGAACGTTCTGGTGAAAAGAAATCAAAGCATGTCCTGTTTTTGTTTGTTAACAGTTTTGCATTAGAATTTTTGCATATTATTAAATGTTCAACTTTTTTGTGTCACTTAATATTTTCAAAGATAACTCTTTGTAAGCTGTGAAATCATATGAACCGCCTGGTCCTATTTCTGTAAAATAATAATGACGTATGTACATTTGCATGCATAACGATATGGAAAGTTGACTCAGGCGTTTCCTCTGCATGGTTGGAATCACAAATGTTACTTATTGCACTTATTTATTTGAATAGGTTGTAAAGAAAATTCAATCAGTGAAGATAGGGCACAGTTTACCTCTTATACTCCCCAGAGAAACCATTGCTATAGAGTCCCATAGTCTACGCAAAACATTCTTCTTACACACAATCATGTGTCTATGTATAAATTTAATTATTTATATAATTATGGGTATTCTTCATGTTGTTTTTCCATATCTGAGTTTTCTCACCTCTTTTGATTGAAGAAACCTTATTCTTCAATAGAATTTAAGAAATGGTCCAAAAGGTTTAGGGCATGAAAAGTGGTGTAGGCATCAATTTTCACATCAATGATGTCTGTTTTGTTGATCTGTGCTTATTTGGCAATCTTTTTCAAGATGTTCTGTTCTTTATCTATTGTTGACTATTACAGATGTCCCCCATTCCCACTATTTTAACCATCTCCACCCATCCCCCCTCCCTCTGACCATCACCAAACTGTTATCTGTTTCCGTGGGATACACATATATGTTCTTTGGCTAATCTCTTCACCTTCTTTCATTCAGTGCCCCCCAAATCCTCCTCTCCTCTGACCTCTGCCAGTCTGTTCCATGCCTCTGGTTCTATTTTGTTTATCAGTTTATTTTTTTCATTATATTCCACATATAAGTGAGATCATGTGGTATTTGTCTTTCTCTTGCTTATTTTACTAAGCACAATAATCTCCAGGTCCATCCATGCTGTCACAAAAGGTAAGAGTTTCTTCTTTTTATAGCTTCGTAGTATTCCATTGTGTAAATGTACAACAGCTCTTTTATCCACTTATCTACTGATGCACACTTGGACTGTTTCCAGATCTTAGCTATTGTAAATAATGCTTTTATGAACATAGCGGTGCATATAGTATTTCGGACTGGTGTTTTGGGAGTCTTAGCATATATTCCCAGAAGTGGGATCACTGGGTCCAAAGGCAGTTCCAGTTTTAATTTTTTGAGCAAACTCCATACTGTTTTTCTCAGTGGCTGTACCAGTCTGCATTCCCACCAGCAATGCATGGGGTTCCCTTTTCTCCACATCCTCACCAGCACTTGTTTGCTGATTTATTGGTAATGGTCATTCTGACAGATGTGAGATGATATTTTTTAAAGTGTAAATTGTTTAAAGTTTCATGTTTTAAACTATAACACTTAAGTGCATGGTTGGAATTACATATCTATATCTATATCTATGTCTATATCTATATCTATATCTATATCTATATCTATATCTATATCTGTTATAGTCAACCAATAATCTATTATGGGGCACTTTTTGCTGTGGTGAACAATCCAGAAAGAGCGATATGGGTTGGCTGAAAGTGGCTTTGAAGTAAAAAGGCAGGGGGACTATTGGAAGAATTCCAGAAAAAAAAAGCAAAAGTGCTTACAGGCAACATGAATTAGCAACTCACTTCTTTGTACATCAAAAAGAATGCACAGGACTGGCTGAGGATTGTGATGAATATTCCCTTTTTGACCATATTGTCACTCATCATCATTGTTTTTGACCAAATTGCTTGTCACTCTTTCTGTCACAGATCGGGGAGGAAAGATAGCCATGTAGTTGGAGAGTCCAAAATTTAAAATGTCTGCTCATCAAAAGATAGAATTAAGTTTACAATGTTCAAGAAAATCTTGGTCTAAGTCTGTATTCACTCCAGGTCACCTTCCAGGTGACTATTTGTTGAGCTCCTCCTATCAGTCAGGTGTTTCAGGCACTGGGCACAGATAGACACTGTTACTCTACCCCCTCCCACTTTACAGACGAAGAAACTGAGGCTCAGAGGTTATAGTGCAGTGGTTCTCAACCTTCTTAATGCTGCGACCCTTTAATACAGTTCCTCATGTTGTGGTGACCCCCAACCATAAAATTATTTTTGTTGCTACTTCATAACTGTAATTTTGCTACTGTTATGAATCGTAATGTAAATATCTGATATGCAGGATGTATTTTCATTGTTACAAATTGAACATAATTAAAGCATAGTGATTAATCACAAAAACAATATGTAATTATATATGTGTTTTCTGATGGTCTTAGGCGACCCCTGTGAAAGGGTCGTTCCACAGGTTGAGAACTGCTGCTATAGAGTAACTTGTTACTGTCCCTTCTATTCCCAAACAACTTTTCTCTCCTAGGGTGACAGCGGGGGGGCTCTGGTTTGCCAGAAAAATAACAAAAGCCCATGGTACCAGCTGGGCATTGTCAGCTGGACTGTGAACTGTGGCGAGAAGAATGTGATTGGAGTGTACACGAAAGTGGCTAATTACCTGTTATGGATGTTCGAGGAGACCACAACAGCAGGAAACTCCTTCATGCCTGATCCAGACTCTGGGTACAGTTTGCTTCTATCACCATCACCCATCTTGTTACTCTCTTTTGTGATGCTTCGGTTAACCCTGTGACTAAACACTGTATTACCTCAAAACCAAGTGTCCTTCTCAGTTTGTGGAGTAAGGTCGAGGGCGCAGTGAAGGCTGTGAGGAGAGATTCGCATATGATTAGTTGTGCCTGAAGTAATCATATACATAGAGGGGTGCTTAAAAAACCCGGGACCCACAACCACGCCTATTGTTCCCCTGGATCTTGGGGTAAGTTACCAATTTCAGCCTGAGTCCTCTCCACAGGCTTGGGTGGAGCATCCCTCCATGGGATCTCTGAAACAGAAAGCCTGTTCTTCCTTCTCTTACAAACAGGTATCCTTCCACAACTTATTTCATCTTCCAAAGGTGTTGGAAGCTCTCAATTTTCTTTTGCTCCTGAAGTAAGAAACATTCCAACTCCTCTCCCATCATTTGTAGCTCATCCCTGAGACCTATAGACTTGGTTTCCAGAAAGATCCTTTTCTTTGCCCTCCTTCTCTTCCATATCTACCATCTGGTTCAGAGTCTCCATAAATGCTGCTTTTGGCTCTTATAGATCATGGGCCATGATGCTAAGATTCAGGACCAGGAAATCATTGAAGCAGAAAGGTCCTAGAGATACAATGGGAAAGCAACACATTGTGAATGGGTTATGGTAACCAAGGCACCTATGCTTGCAAGTATCAGAAACGGAACCTGAAGCAAACAAGGAAATGAGTAATATACTGGGGTAGGTAGCACAGAATCAAAGGAAGAGCAGCACAGACTTCGGAGGCTGTTCTAGCAAACAGCTCTAAGTGGGACTTAATCTGGGGTGCATTTGGGCCATCAGGGTGGGTAGACTCTCTGGCCTTCATGCAATCAGCCATGAGCATAATTCTTCCAACCTATGCTTGCAAGTATCAGAAACGGAACCTGAAGCAAATAAGGAAATGAGTAATATACTGGGGTAGGTAAGCACAGAATCAAAGGAAGAGCAGCACAGACTTGGGAGGTTGTTCTAGCAAACAGCTCTAAGTGGGACTTAATCTGGGGTGCATTTGGGCCATCAGGAAGGGTGGGTAGACTCTCTATCCTTCATGCAATCAGCCATGAGCATAATTCCTTCAATCAGGCTAGACATGCTAAGTGGCATTCTTCTCTTCTGAGGCAACTCAGAACAGTTTTGAAGAGAGAGGGGAAAGCGGTAGAGTATTCAAAAAGATGTGTGTATTCCTTTGAATTTGCCTTTAGTAGAATTCATTGAACTGTGAACGAAGATGAAAAATGAAAAGGAAAATTCGACCTTTGTGCATATGCAATTTGAGAGGGGAGAAAAGAGGATGATATTTGTCTTTCTCTGTCTGACTTATTTCACTTAGTATAATACCCTTTATGTCCATCCATGTTGTCACAAATGGCAAGATTTCATTTCTTGGAGTGGAAGCTGATGAATTACAGCAGGTGGCTGGTTCTAAATCCTTAAGCCGTTTATAATGGCATCATAGAAAAAGTGTTGACTTGGTGGTTTTAGTTTTCATTTACTAGCTTAATGACTTAAGTGAATCGCGGCCTTTCTGAGTTTATACTTGTTCCTATGCAATTGATTGCAAAGGATTATATTAGTCTTCCTGATCTCTATTCTATGGAATAATAATATTCACACTACATTGTGTTTTTCCTTGATAAGGCTTTTATGAAGACAAATTTGGAATATGAGTCTGTTGATAACTAGTTACTGAGCACTTATGGAGTAGCCCTAGTATGGAAAAAGTTTGCATTCAAATTTTAGAAGGATATGGGCACTATTCCAGAGGAGAATTAGAACAGCTATTCGCTATTGCAGAGTTAGTAAAGAAAGCAAATTATTTTTCAACTAATTTATTCACAAACTTTTCCAAATCCTGTGTTGCAGCCAGTATTGAGTGACCAATATTAATGTGAGTGTGTCAGTGGATTGTGTATGTCTAGATCAGTGGTTCTCAACCTTCCTAATGCCTTTAATACAGTTCCTCATGTTGTGGTGACCCCCAACCATAAAATTATTTTTGTTGCTACTTCATAACTGTAATTTTGCTACTGTTATGAATCGTAATGTAAATATCTGATATGCAGGATGTATTTTCATTGTTACAAATTGAACATAATTAAAGCATAGTGATTAATCACAAAAACAATATGTAATTATATATGTGTTTTCTGATGGTCTTAGGCGACCCCTGTGAAAGGGTCGTTCCACAGGTTGAGAACTGCTGCTATAGAGTAACTTGTTACTGTCCCTTCTATTCCCAAACAACTTTTCTCTCCTAGGGTGACAGCGGGGGGGCTCTGGTTTGCCAGAAAAATAACAAAAGCCCATGGTACCAGCTGGGCATTGTCAGCTGGGGAGTGGGCTGTGGCCGGAAGAATGTGCCTGGAGTGTACACGAAGGTGGCTAATTACCTTGTATGGATTAATGTGGAGACCAACCTGTCAGGAAGGCCCTACATGTATGAGCCAGACTCTGGGTACAGTTTGCTTCTATCACCATCGCCCATCTTGTTACTCTATTTTGTGATGCTTCTATTAACCCTGTGACTAAACACTGTATTACCTCAAAACCCAGAGCCCTTCTCAGTTTGTGCAGTAAGTTCAAGGGCGCGGTAAAGGCTGTGAGGAGGGATTCACATATGATTATTTGTGCCTGAAGTAATCATATACATAGAGGGGTGCTTAAAAAACCCGGGACCCACAACCACGCCTATGGTTCCCCTGGATCTTAGAATAAGTTACCAATTTCAGCCTGAGTCCTCTCCACAGGCTTGGGTGAAGCATCCCTCCATGGGATCTCTGAAACAGAAAGCCTGTTCTTCCTTCTCTTACAAACAGGTATCCTTCCACAACTTATTTCATCTTCCAAAGGTGTTGGAAGCTCTCAATTTTCTTTTGCTCCTGAAGTAAGAAACATTCCAACTCCTCTCCCATCATTTGTAGTTCATCCCTGAGACCTATAGACTTGGTTTCCAGAAAGATCCTTTTCTTTGCCCTCCTTCTCTTCCATATCTACCATCTGGTTCAGAGTCTCCATAAATGCTGCTTTTGGCTCTTATAGATCATGGGCCATGATGCTAAGATTCAGGACCAGGAAATCATTGAAGCAGAAAGGTCCTAGAGATACAATGGGAAAGCAACACATTGTGAATGGGTTATGGTAACCAAGGCAACTATGCTTGCAAGTATCAGAAACGGAACCTGAAGCAAATAAGGAAATGAGTAATATACTGGGGTAGGTAAGCACAGAATCAAAGGAAGAGCAGCACAGACTTGGGAGGTTGTTCTAGCAAACAGCTCTAAGTGGGACTTAATCTGGGGTGCATTTGGGCCATCAGGAAGGGTGGGTAGACTCTCTATCCTTCATGCAATCAGCCATGAGCATAATTCCTTCAATCAGGCTAGACATGCTAAGTGGCATTCTTCTCTTCTGAGGCAACTCAGAACAGTTTTGAAGAGAGAGGGGAAAGCAGTAGAGTATTCAAAAAGATGTGTGTATTCCTTTGAATTTGCCTTTAGTAGAATTCATTGAACTGTGAACGAAGATGAAAAATGAAAAGGAAAATTCGACCTTTGTGCATATGCAATTTGAGAGGGGAGAAAAGAGGATGATATTTGTCTTTCTCTGTCTGACTTATTTCACTTAGTATAATACCCTTTATGTCCATCCATGTTGTCACAAATGGCAAGATTTCATTTTTTTCATGGCCAAGAAATATTGCGTTGTATAAATGTACTACATCTCCTTCATCTACTCATCTAATGGGCACTTGGGTTACTTTCATATCTTGGCTATTGTAAATTACATTGCAATAAACGTAGAGATGCATATATATTTTTGAATTAGTGGTTTTTACTTATTGAAATTATACCCAGAAGTGGAATTGCTGGGACATAAGGTAGTTCTATTTTTAACTTTTTGAGGAACCTCCATACTGTTTTCCATGGTGGTTGCATCAATTTGTAATCCCACCACTAGGTGGGTACTAGAATTATCAAGGGGAATCACTTCATAAATTATGTAAATATCTAACAAATATTGTACACCTAAAACTAATATGAAATAATATTAAATGTCAACTGTAATTGAAAAATGAAAAAAGAGAAGAGGAGGAAAAGACAGTTTATTTACATTGGCCTTCATCAGCTGTATCAGAACAGGACAGCTTGGCTGCCTCTGAATCTAGAGAGAGAGTGATTGGAGCAGCATTTAAGTGGGCAAGAACGGGAAGAATCAGTATACAGTTATGTTTTGCCAAACCTGCAAAGTTACCACAGGAATTTTGGCTTATTGGTAGGCAAGGAAATATGTCCAGGAGCAGATGGGTTAGGATCCCAGAGAAGGTAGGTTTAAAAATTTCCTCTTTCCCAGCCAGTGTGATTCAGTGGTTGATCATCGACCTATTAACCAGGAGTTCATGGTTCAATTCCCTGTCAGGGCAGATGCCTGGGTTGCGGACTTGATCCCCAGTGTGGGGCATGCAGGAGGCAGCCAATCAATGATTCTCTCTCATCATTTATGTTTCTCTCTCTCTCTCTCCCTCTCCCTTCCTCTCTGAAGTCAATAAAAGTATATTTTAAA